TATATTTTATTTTTAATATATGAGATGATATTAAACTAGAGAATTTATTCTTTTGAGTGGGATAAAATTGTTATGAACTGTAAAACTATTTATGTATTTAAAAAAAATACATTAATTTCAAAACCACCAATTTAAGTGAAACAATTTTTTTACTAGATCCTTATTCCTTAATTTTGCTATTCTAATTACTGATTACTAATGTAATCCTTGTAAACTATTGACTTATCTTTAAAGGTAACAGTGAACCCCGTGTTTAAATAGTCATAACAAAGTTTACAATGCTGAACCTGAATTATTACCAACAAAGTTAAAATACGGATATAAGTTTATTCATAACCAAAAATTAGAAAAAAATATTTTCATAAGTTAAAATTAATTTATATATAGGTTAATTTATAAAAGTTTTTTCATATAACTTTTTAATTTGTATATAAGTTAATTTATCTTATATATCAAATTGTTAGAAGTTATCATAGAAATGTTATTATAGCTTTATAATAACTAGAATATTATCATTATTATTTCACTCATATTTTCTTTTCTTTTTTCTAATTTATTCTTTCTCCATCAATAGTAATGTAATGGTCCAGTGAGGTGACTAAAGAACTTTTTTATGAAAGGAATATTATTATTTAATAATTATGTAAGATGCTTGTGGACCTCTATGCTTATTTTCAGCGCAGATTTTATTGCTTTTATTATTAGAGCATACTTTTTCAATTCCTTTATATATAAAATGTCACCGATTAAAATATTCACTACATTTTATTAAATTTTTTAATAAATTAAATTAATATTAAATCATTGTTACATTAATTAGTGTAATAAATAGTCTTAGCAAAGATTTGGTTTTAATTATATTGTTATAGAATTTAAATCCACTTAACATATAGTTGTAGCCAACACAATGATTACTTCATTTAATTTAGTATTTAGTGACAGTTTGCCAATAGAATGTTCCATCTAAATAATAAATTAGGTTAAAAATTTCACAGACAATACCATGGGTTATTTTTTTCAGAAAAAAAAAACAAATACTCACTTATATGATTTTTAATACGATTATGAAATTTATTTTAAAAAAATCAGAAAAAAATGCTGATTTATATATTTTTTTTTAAGAAACAACTTGAAATTACTTAAAAATAAATTTTTTAAACTATTCCTCGTTGCAAGCATGAAGAAAACTATTGAATATAAGACAAATATTATAATTAAAGAGTTGTGATGCTTTGCTTATAGTAGTCGAACTCATGAGTCATGTCACGAAGCTGTGTTTGCTTAACGGGGGACCGCGACATATCGTAGCCACTAACGGACAATCAAATTTTACCTCTTGACGTTGGAATAACAATGTTTATGGTACTCATGGGATTTAGATTGAGGTGTAACTTTCAATTTTTAGTTTTAATTCATAAGCAAACTAAAACAATATTTTTGTAAGCATGGGCAGGATCGTTCATATTTTGTTTCCCTGGATCAAATATCTTTGACATGGATCGCACTCATTTATATCTTCAACTATTCAACATCAAACCATTGTTGATTTTAAGGGCATAGACACCAATTTGTGCCCAATCTTTTGTTATTGTGTACACATACGTCACTGTTCAGAAGAGACTTTGATGTCTTCTGTGACAATGATCTTTTTATTCTGTTCTTATCATCAAAATATTACCCTATATGTTCCATCTATATGTGATCTTATTATAAAATTAAAAACTCATTAAATAATTATTAATTTTATAAATATTCACTTTTATTCCATATTTATATTAATGTTATAATTATTTAATTATATTTAATATTCATTTCACGTTTTATTGTATTAAGTGTTCTAAATCAAAATATATAAGTAAAAAAAAATAAACTTCAGTTTTAAGTTAATCAAATGATGACGTGAAACTGTATAGTATATATAATTTGTTTAGCTTTATTCTGGTTTTGTTTAAAAAAAAATTGATTTAATAGATTAAAAAAAGAATATGTATATAAATATAAATTATTCTTAATCTCCATTCTTAAATCTCATGAGTATATTTAAATATAAATTTTTAATTTTAAAACCAAGGAAAATTAGTAGAATCATATTTTACTTTTTATCTAGGCTCCAAGTGTTTTTATCTAGATCGTAAGGTGTATGAACTCTTTTTTAAGTCTATCAGTGTCATCAACATGAAAAAAAATGTCAATAAATAATTATTTAATGCTTAAATAAATATGTAAATAAGAATGAAAAATAAAATATACTTAAATAAAATAAATGAGATACTAAATAATTTTATATAAAAATGATTAATTTATTAAAATATTTGAATATTAGCGAGATATTTATTATTAAAATATGAATTGTTATAATATTTAATTTTTTTAAAATGGGTTAGTAGATAATTTATAAATAAAATTAATAAATAAATTTTTATAATTTAGTGAAACTTTTAATTAAGTTCTGGGGTTTATGTAATTAAATGGCAGTGTAATTAGCATGGTTCTGGTGACATGTCAATGCAATTTTTTTTATTAATTGAAGAGTATTTAGTTGGATAACCTACCAAATACTGAAGAGCAGTTACTTAAACATGTTAATTATGACGCAAGATTGCTAACGACAAAACCCTGAATTGGCGTTAACCCGAATAAGACCACTGCCACCTTTTCAGTACTCTACCGTTGATACACTAGAATGGCACCAACTCAACAAAATAAAGTTGCATACTGTTATATGATATTTTCCTACATTTTTTTTATGAAAATGACTTTCAATAGGTAAATTATAAATTTTTACTTTTCTCATCACATAATTCACTGATACTTGAATAATATAGATTTGTATCATAGAATTAACTAGTTTAAGTATGAATTGATAAACAATTATCAATCAATGCCAACAATTTTTATTTTTATTATTTAATAATTATTAAGTTTAATTTTTATCTGGATTGAAAACATAGTTGATACATATAATATTTATTTGATATAATTTTCTTTTAAATCAATCTAAATGAAATATTTTGTTATAACGTAATATATCAAATTAGAAAATATGGTAAATGATGATGATTTGGAGGAGAAGTTAATGTTAATTTATTATTTTTAGTCCTTTATAGTTTTGTACGTTTTTGTTGGGTAATCCAAGTATGAGTTAAGTCTCACATTGAGTAAAAATGAGAATCTTGAACAACATATAAGAAAGTATGATTCATAACTCAATGTTTTAGGGTTTTAGATTGATAATGGTATCAATCCCTTATATGGGTTGGATTCATGTCTCATGACGTTGTTTTCTCTAGTAAATTCTCCTCGAAAAGGCGATACATGAAAAAATCACTAATGCTCGATGAGATTTACCTCATAACCCAATGTCTTAAGGTTTTTTTGTTGAGAGTAGTATCAAATCCTTATATTGAATAGTTGTTTATATTTATATAAATGGTGTGAACTTAATTTTTAAATGATAACATTATGTTAAAATATTATGGTGAACATTTTTAATATTTATTATCAATAAAAATATAAATATGTGTTATTCTCTTATCTTGATTAATTCCTTCTTTAACATTAATTTTTTCATGATATGTAATTTTATAATTTATAATATATTATGATTGAACTTTATTTTTGGATAAGGAGTTATAATAACACAAAGAATCTAAGGTAAACGCATTATGGGGACCACGTGTAATATTAAGATGTTGTTAATTGGTATATAATGATTTATATTTTGATATTTATGAAATTTCCTTATTTTTAACTTGAGACTAATGGATAATATAGTATAATATATCAATATATATTTAAAGAAAATAAGTCTCGTCAGTCATATTTTCTTAAAAAGACACATGTCTCAAATAAAAACATCTTTTTTTAAAGAAGATTTTGAATAATATTTTCTTAATTCCAATTTTTTTTTCTAACCAATGAATAAATAAAAGATACTATATTACTTAGTATGATTTTTATGTAAACTTTAACCATTTATGAATTAGTATGAATAAATATAGTAAGATTATTTTTTCTGATCAACTTTATAGTTTAATCTCGTTGTTTTAAGAGATTAGAGAACGAAATTGTGCATTATTGTACATAGTGATCTTATATATAACAAAATAAGTTATAAACAACCTATAACAAATATTTAAAATAGTCAAAATCAAGTATTATAAGAGTAAAAGATATATATTCCTATATCTAGTATTTCTTAATTATATCACTTATTTACGATTGAGAAGTCTCATATCAATATTATCTTTTTAAGAATACAAATGTATTAAATAAAATATTTTTTCAAACAAATTTTAAATAATATTTTCTTAATTTCTAAAATTTTGGTCTAACCAATAAATAAATATTTAAATATAATTTAAATTGGTATATAATTGTCTCCATAATTTAGTATCGTGAGATTAAGAATTATGCATGTTACATGTTATTTTATGTTAAACTAGATAACTTTTAATAAATCTTTGAAATAGTAAAAATTGTATTAAAAAAGTGAAAGACATGAATTCATATCTCTAATATATATGCACACCCATTTTTTAAATATCATGATAACAGCCCACTATTAACTTAAAAATTAGAAATTTCACATAATAACAAAAATATAAAAACCTTGACCCTAAGAACAAATGACACCACTCATTATTGAAACTTATGGAGACACTAGTTGAAACAGAGGTAATACAATTGTTTTTTTTGTTTAACACGTACGCATACTTAATAATTTAATCTAAGACATTGATTTACATAAAATTAAGGTTCAGTTGAGGGGAAATAACATTATTAAGAAGTTCCACCAATGCATGTTTACTCGGTTATCTCCAAGACACAAAGGCGACCCGTGTATTTTATTCGACAGGTTTTATATTATTACTGTGACATGTGTATTTACTTTTGCATGCAAGCATTTTTTTTTATCACATTACTGTCCACAGCGACGATGTTTTTCCTATAAATGACACGTTGTTTTTGACAAACTGCTACTCTTATTTTTTTCTCCGATGGGGTTTCCGGTGTGTTGCGCGGAAGTGTACTTCCCTATCCCCTTCCTGCGCATGCCTGACATCCTTGGTTTCCTCCGCAACCTTGTTTTCTTCCTTGTACATGTCCTTGCCCTCCTCCACTTCCCCCATATCGAGGATCCCCTGTCCTCTACTGCCACCGCAACAGCCACCTCAGCTGCTGAAGTCGCCAGGCCCTCCGAAGTGTCGCCTCCTGTCATCAGGAGGCTCCTGCCTGTCGCCCGGTTCGGAGAGTCCAGGGAAAACGCATGCGAGTGCGCCGTCTGTCTGTGCGAGTTCTCTGAGGAGGTGGAGATTCGGCGCATGCGGAACTGCAACCACATTTTCCATCGCACCTGCGTGGACCCTTGGATCGATCAGAATCAGAAAACGTGCCCTATCTGTAGGACCCCCTTTGTGACCAATTAGAATAATCCTCGTCTTTGAGCCTCTCATTCCTTTATTATTATTATTATTATTATTATTATTATTATTAATTATGCTTTTTATTTATTTTGATTCTAGTTTGTCACCCCTCTCCCTCTCTGAAATCATTATTCATGGAATTGTGAATTAATGGTGTATTTTGTCTGAAACTCCACCCTTTTTTTTTATTTCTCAAATTTTTAAAATTCAACGAACTTTACTCATTTTACTAATTTTTTGAACAAAAAAAGCATCTTATATTCTCACAAGAGTTGTGGAAAATATGAAAAGAAAGAAAGGCTTGAGTTGAGTTATGCAATATATGGAATTTAAAAACTCGATTGTAGAATAAAAAAAAATAAAAAACTTATGATAAGATTAGGAAGATAATTTTGGTTTTCATTGGTCAATATTTTATTAAACCTAAAAATAAAAACAAAAAAAAATAAAATTGCTGTTTATGGGATTTTTATTTTGTAATAGTGTCTTATTACAGTCATAATAACGATTTCTTTATACAAATATTTGATGTATTTAAAAAATAATACTTTATTTTTTATATCAAAAGTTCATAACAACTTATTTCCGCTTGAGTGATGATTTCTTTTTCGAATAACAAAATCTGCATAGTGAATCAAAGCAAGTGAATTATATACACATTTAATCTATATTTTTATTTTTAACTATTAATAAATACATAAATATTATTTAAAATTAAATCATCTTTATATATTATTATTAAAATATAATATAGTTTTTATTTATATAGATTAAATATATTTTATTATAGTATAAATATACTAAATCATATTTTATTTTAATTTATTAAATTTTATAAATAAATTGGAAATTTTAATTTTTTTAACTATTAAAATCCGTGAGTATTTGGATGTGTAGAAGTAAAACAAAAAAACGAGGAAAGATGGGAATGAAAAATATTTGTATTGAAATAATAATAAATAACTGAAAACTAAAATAACCAATCATAAATAAACTTAATTTTTCTTAATAGACTCTTTTTTTTATTATTCTTCTATTTCTCTCCGGGTATCTTTATTTGCAAGCAAAATAGAGAGAATATAAAATTACTGTTACAAGAAAATGAGTGAAAATATAAAACAATATAAAATGATTAATGAGTAAATATAAAACTTTATTTTATAATAATAAGAAAAATAATAAAGAAATGCATAATTATCTATGTTAAAATATATGTTTTATTTTCTAGTTAAATAAAAAATAATAATAAAATTTTTATTTTGTAAAATTATTATTTTTTTCAGTAAAACGTTATTCGTTCTCTTAGTAAGTTTTAGGTCCGTGTCTATAATGATTTTTAATTATATTATTTTGGTATAGTATGAAAAATATGAAAATTATTACAAAAACAAAATTAAATAATTTAATATATTTCAATTTTTTAAATAATGTAAAATTGTTTTATTAACTTAGAAAATATAAATTTATGATAAAAAGTATTTAATATATATATATATATATATATATATATATATATATATATTATTGAAAAAATGAGTTTTGATTTTAAAGTCTTAGTTAAAAGGTTTCTCTATCGATAAAAATTAATTATTAATTGTATGAGTGATTTTATAATTATATAAATATTTTACTTTTTTAAATGATTATTTTTAAAAAAATTACATGTTATTTTGTTTTTTAAATAAATATACGTACTTTTTATTCTATTTTTTCTTTTTATTTTTTTCCTTATTATAGAAAGAATCATAATGCTTCACTGAATAGAAAAAAATAAAGAAAAAGAAATATTGAATAGAAACAAAATAAATAAAGACGAAGAAATAAAGAAGTATAAAAAAAATGCTTCATTAGATAAAAAATAGAGAAAAAAATATAAAGAAGGAAAGGAAAAAAAAGTTATTTTGTTTAAAAAAACAGTGAACAAAATTTATTGTTTTTAATAATTTATTATTTTTATAATATTATTATAATAAAAAGGTAAACAATTATTTCATAACAATAATCTATTATAACTTTCAAAACAATTAAAATATTAATAAAATATTCACATGTATATGATAAAATAGTTCATTTAAGGTTTAAAGTATATAAAAGATTCCATTTAATTTTAAAATTTAAATGAATTAAAATAAAGTTCTTAAAAATAACTTTATTTTTAATAACTTTTTTTATTTAAAATAAGTCCTTATTTATTATTATTAAAATGTAATTTAATTTTTTATGTTATGATAAAATACAATAATTAATATATGCAATGATAAAATTATATTTTATTGATAATAAAATAATTTGAAAATGAATATTAAATATAACTATTATTATTATTATTATTAAATATTATTTATTTATTTATTTATATTTAAAGACTCGTTATAATAAATTTATATTTTTTTAATTCAGACTAGGTATATTATTAACCTTTTTTCTCCGAAGTAAAAAAAAAACATCTCTATTATTATTTTTATTTGATTTGTTACACTTTTTTTTTACTAAGTTCCATCTTCACCCTCCTTTCTCTCTAGCATCTCCCACGTTACTTAAAAAAAAAAGATAATGCAACCTTTAAAAAAATAAAATGAGAAATCAAAATACAGGGATCAATTCCTCTTATTGCCTTTTTAATTTTTTTATTTCAATTAAAAATTCTTATGTATTTTGATTTATAAAATAAAAAATATATAATATTTAGAATATTTAAATATATTAAATTTTAAATTCATTAAAATAAAATATTTTTTTAAATATATTATTTAAATCAAACAATTCAATTTTATTAAATTTTAATTTTATTATTTAAATAGACATTTTTAATAACATTGAATCCATAAACAACTATTTTAAACATCACAAAAATATAGTTACTACATACTTCAACAGAAAAAATATCCCAATTAACATTAATTAAAAAAAAACTCTAAGAAACATTAATAAAGAAGCAGCGTTGGTCAACATGTACAGTAAATAATATAAAAAATGAAATAACTCTTATCAATATCAACGAAAAAAATCTGACTCACATCACTTGGAAAATATTCTTATTGATATTAATAAAAAATATAAAAATATAATGTCAATACTGTTGAAAAAATAATTTAAAAATATTAATTATATAAATAAAATCTTTAACTATATTTAGAATACGAGAATTATAAAAGATTTTGCTTAAATAAACATAACAAAAAAAATAGTTAATTTAAAAAAAAAACTAAATTTAAATTTAGTAAGCATTCTTAGAAGAAAATTAAAAAATATTTAAAATTATCAAATTGCAAAACAAACATTCCTTTATTATTATTATTATTGAAAATAGTTTCCCTAATTTTGATCACAAACCTTGTCTAAGTTCATCTCATGTTAACTATGGAATGGAATAGGAAAGCTGCCCCAATTTCTCAACCATTGCGATGTTAACAAAATTAAATAATATATAAGAAAACCATATTTTGATTAATTCATAAAATTATATATTATTTATAATATTTCTAACAAAAGTATGAAAAAATCTATTAAAAATTAATATATATGCGAGTAGTTGTTGGCAAGGGAGCTTTCAATAATTGCTCTACGCAAACTAGTAGCGTATTTTGGAGTCTTTTATTTTTTTTATACATAAAGAAAAGGTGCCACTGTTATATAAGTCACGCTCGCTACCCACACTTCTCTCTCCCACACACTCTCTCTGAAGACGCACAATCCGTGTCTCTCCGACATAAACTTGTTTTTTTCCGATGGGGTTTCCGGTGGGTTACGCAGAGGTCTTCTTCCCCAACCCCTTCCTCCACACGCTGGCCCTCCTCGGCCTCCTCCGAAACCTCGTATTCTTCCTCTTGCACCACCTCGGACTCTCCGACTTCCTCGAAACAGAGGTCACATGGCCGGATCCCCGGCCCTCCGACGCCGCAGCCAGGGCACCCTCCGTGTCGGCGCTCCTCATCCGGGACATCCTCCCCGTCGCCAAGTTTGGAGAGTCCGGAGAAGACTCGTGCACCTGCGCCGTCTGTCTGTTCGAGTTCTCCGAGGAGGAGGAGATTCGGTGCATGCGGAACTGCAAGCACATTTTCCATCGCGCCTGCGTGGACCGTTGGATCGATCACGATCAGAAAACGTGCCCTCTCTGTAGGACCCCCTTTGTGCCTGATGACATGCTTGATGATTATAATCAACGCCTCTGGGCCGCTTCTGGAATCAACGAGTTCTACGCCGATTACTCTTCTTCCTTCTGAATCTAAGTTTCTTCAATTTTATTTTTTTTCTTCTCTCTTTCTCTATATAATCAATCATGAAAGTGAATTGTATATAACAAAGCCAAAAATAAAAGAAAATTTTAAACCATTTCATAATGAATACATGCACTTTTTACTTACCAATATTATTAGTGGTATATGACTAGTATGGTGGCGGCTCGTGTATTATTGAATATAGTTTATGTACGACGGTAGTTAGCAGGGGATTTAGTTATTATTTTAATTATATTATTATTGAAATGAGAAAAAACAGTGTCCTCTGTTTATTATTGAGGCTTTTGGGAGTCATGTGTTTAAATTGTAATATTTCAAACAAACTTGTTTTGTTTAGTTATTGTAAAAGTAGATTTGAAGAATTGTTAGAAAATATCCATGTCTATTGTGTTCTTTTGACAGATATATATCTATTGCGTTCGAAGAAATTTTTTTTAGTTGATTCTTTAAATAGTAAAATGAAACAGTTTTTTTTTTCTTTCTTTCTTCTTGGGTCATTGATTCTGTAATAAAATTACAAATTTTGAAATAAAGGAATAGCTTTCAATTTTTTAAAAGTACTTGGTGAGCTTCACTTTCCTTTTTCTCCTACTTAATGGGAAAATTACAAATTTGAGCCACTTATTTAATAATTATAGCACTTTCCATTTTAATTACATTATTCTTTTTCAGTTATACTTGTGATTTGGAAAGTATATCCAACAAAAATTTAATTAGAAATAGGAGTTTCTTATAATATTTTGTTATTTTCGCACGAGTGGGGGAGATTCAGCTCGTGCTTTTATTTTTTCAAACATCCAAATTAATATATTCAGATATAGAAAAGTAGTGATTAAAAGATAATATTTTTTATCGTTTGTAAGAAAACAATAACATACGTGTGGAAATGATATTGTCTAGTGATTAATTAATATAATTAACTATACACTCTGAATAGTCATAGTTCTACGTATGATATAAGTCAAAAGAAAGTCATAAACTCAATTTATATATGACCAATTTTTTGGATGAGAATGATAAAGAAAACGTAGGCAATCTAGAAGAAACCAAAATTATTCACATAAAATAAAGAAGAAACCAAAATTAATGGGCAAGGAACTTGTTCAAACCTATCATTTTTAGTTTGAATGAATAATATACCATTTGCTAAAAAGAATCATATAATAATCTATCTTTTTGAAAATCATTTCTGTTATGGAATCTAATAATAAAGTTGAATACTTTTGACATTGCAGGGGAAAAAACATGGCAATCAAACAGCTTTTACTACGAAGTTAGTGTAAATTACCAGACAGAACGTGTCTGATGTTGCTTTCGGCTATAATTGTTGTGCATTGGTGGTTCTACTGATGTTGGACTAACATAAAATCTGTGTATCATGATGTTGTACACATATTTCTAAAAGGACATAATCACTTTTACCCGATATCTCAATTAATTTGAAAAAAATAATAAGTACTACAAATTTTAATGCAAAATTCAAAATTGAAAGTAGTTGCATTCGAGTCTAAATTACCTGTCAAAAATAAGAACCACAGAAGCTAATAAAGTAACTTTAAAACTATAGAAATGATTTACTAAACATATTCTTAATTAGTTCAAAATTTCTCTCTAGAATTTAAGATATATTTCATAGAAAATTTTCAGATTTGTGCTGGTAATATTACTGAAATTGTTGTTTTAGAAGTTCTCAATCTTCTGAATACAGAAAACATGTGTCACTATCAACTTGGGCTTTCCCTAGAGTTTTGGACTGTTAAAATATCAGGAAGCCCAAACTCATCTGGATCCATATAAATTCTGGACTTGACCTAAAAGATGTATGATTACTTTTTTATTCTTGGGTGTTATGTTCTTATCCTGAAGCCTATTGTATTAGCCCTTGTGGTTCAATTTTGTTTTGGTAACTTTTGATTGATGTTAACTCATGGGACGAAAAGGGTAAGTTTTATGATAAAGAAATGACCAAGATGGTAACTTTGATGTTGGCTAAAGCCGAAGATGAGGTTTATCAGTGCCACCCTGATTTGAAAGAAAGTGCAATTACCAAGTTGAAAAGGTTTGTTTTTAACTCGTATAAAAATTAAAGACTCCTTCGGTTAGTTATAATAAGAATTAATTTTTATATAGGATATTTTATTCACGGTTTTGTTTGATTAATTAAAAGATGACAGTGTATATAAATTATTATTGACTTCGATTCTTAAATGATATGAAATATAATCTCCTAGTCGAGAAATAAAGAGTATGAACGGAGCGATATTCTGCTTCAGTCCTATGATAGACGTTAATATTCAGTTTAAAAATAAGAATATGTATCTATTATAATAATATTATTAAAGTCAATTTTCATGATTATATTATGATAGGTTCACAAATCTTATTTTATTTAAAAGTCAATATCAAATATAATTTATATATATTTTTCTTTCTTAATCTACTGTTATATCTTTTGAAAATAAATTTAGGATAAATAAGAGTCTTACAATAAATAATTTCTCAACATAAAAATTGATTTTAATGATGTTATGATAATATATATTCTTCTTTCTAAAATAAAGTTGTTCCTTCCTCTCCGTGACAAATAGGACAATGGAGTGAAAAGAGGGTTAATAATAATTTAATTTATTTAATAAAAATATTAATTAAAATAAAAAATCTCATAATTTTAATATATATAACATTCAATACGTTCGGATCGATGGGTTAGAGATGGGCCAGTTAGCCCATTTTACCATCGTATTAATTAAATACTTCTTTAGATGAAGGCCCAATAGTAAGGTAAATTGTAAAAGTATGAAGAAATCAATAAAAAAATCATAATAATTTGGAAATGTAATGAAATTTTGATTAGGTGTAGTTTGTCCTTTGTTCCTCTTTCATATAACTTTAGTTATGATTAATAAAACAATAATTTCAGCAGCACATTTTACATGTGAGTTTATGTTGTCACTATTTAATTCATTTTTAATAGTCAAAACAAGTTAAAGTGGTTGGACTTTAAAATTAAGCATATTTTATTACTCAACTATTATTGTCTCATAAAATTTTCAACCCAACTTATTATCTTAAATATTTCGTCATCATATTTTTTAAATTTTATATTTGTATTGAAGTGATGACGTATTCTTATAAAGTTATTACTTTATGACAATTCCTTGTAAAACAACGTCGTTTCGTTCCTAACATGAAAAATGTAAAATTGTAAAAGGTATCAATTAAAATCTGATAATAACATGAGTGAAAAAAAAAAAAACTTCAACGATAAAATTTAAATAATAATAATAAAGTACCATTAAAAAAATAGTATCTCTTACAATTACCAACTATTTTCTACATTCATCATTTCATATCTCACTAAACCAAAAAAAATCTAACAAAATTCAATTCAATTTTCTGTATGTATGAAAAAGACTGCGTTGAAAAAGATAAAACTTATTTTAAAGATGAAAAATTAGTTCCATGAGGTGCCATTACAAGAATATTTTATTTCAAGAAAAATAACATAATTCGAACCAAACCAATATGATAAAAAATAATTTGGCTTGATTGAGATCAATTGAATTTTAATATGCAAATATATAAATTATATTTTGGAAACAAATACATGTTTTTTTAAATATTTTTTTAAATGACATTTTTTTTTTCAATTAGCTTACACCTACTAAAGAGTATCTAAATAAATATTATGATGGATATTGAATAAAAAGGTAAATGCGTAACAAAAATATCAATAATATTTTATTATTTAGATGATTTATTCTCAACTGTTTGTCATTGAATTTAATGGGTTTGTTTAAATTTAACTCAAATTGAAAAAATGAATCAATTTAATTCTTTTGATTTCATTTAGATTATAGTAAAGTTACCAAATTGGTGAACACTCTTACTCATAATCATAGTTTGGCCAACAATTAAAAACTCAACAAAGTAATGAAGCATAAATGCAAACAAAAGAAACATAAAAGACATGTTTATAAGTAACAAAACTTATACATTTGTCACTACCCAATTACATATATTTTAGTTAATTTAGTAATCTATATCTTTGGTTACCAAATTAATATAGTAAAATTACGGGTGATTATGGATTGAGTTTCTAAAAAATCAATAATATTCAACTTAAATTAAAATAAATTAAATTGAATTTAAAATTTAGACCATTTAATTAAATTAAAATAATTTTAATTTTTAATTAGTTTTAAATTAAATTAAATATGTAATCATTTAGACCATTCAATTTAGATTGAAACTACTATATTTGATCAATTTTAAATTTTAAATTATTTGAATAAATTTTTTTGGCTAAATAACTCATGTATTTTAAAATTAAATTAGTTTGGGAGGGGAAGTCATTATATATGGTGGCTAACCAGTTCAACCAACATTCAATGATTTTAATTGTGTTTTTTTTTTATGTATTACCTTTTTCTACTGTTTAATTATTTTTACTTATATTTTTTTTATTTGTGACAATATGAACATTTATTATATTTTATGTGTTTGTCCATTTTTAATATAATGAACTTATTAGTTGTTGAATTTTTTTAATATTAATCTTCAGAAACAAATAATAATCTATGCGATGGAAAAAAATAAATCCTTTTTAATATAATGATGTTTTCTGGTTGAGCGAATGATACCCCTATTTAAAGTGAATCCAACAACTTTTGATATATGACACTCCATGGACTAAAACAAATCTTAAAAAAAAAATTGTCTTAATCATATTAGAATGAATAGTAATTTTATTTTTTAAATTCAAAACTTAAGGTTATTTATAGATTCAACTTGAATAGTTAAATTGTTATGGCTTTTTAAAATCAAACTTTTGTTATTAGATGGAGAAAGGAAAGATTCATACCCAAATTTAATAAAATAATATTTTCATAATAAAAATGTATAATAAATTTATTAATAATAATATTTTTTATAAATAATAATAATAATAAATATTACTATCATTACCGTAAATTATAATAAAAATTATAAATTTAAAATATATTAAAAATATAAAATAAATAGTTATTAAAATAAAATTAAAATATAATAAAATAATTATTATTTAAATTTGACATAATTAATATACGATAAAAAATTATATTAAAAATTTGTATCATAAATATTTATGCTATTATCCTTTGATAAAAAAATTGAATCAATTTTTTTTTAATTTATTAATTTTATCCTAATTTAATTAAATAAAACAACATACTGAATTTGAGGTTTTTATTGACTTGTTGAATTGACCAGTCTAATCCGAATTTTAAAATAATCTTAATTAAAATCTGGTGTTATTAATTAATGAACTTTACTAACGAAAATGAATGAGACAAAGCATTAATTAGAAGCTAATTGGATAAAAATATTTTAAAAAAAAAGAGTGGGTGTAGGGTTTTGAAGGAACAGAGTTAATTAAGTTTATGGGAGGTGAAGGCATTATTATGAGTGGACCTATGAAAACTACTGCTTCTGCTCTCACCGCTGTCTCTGCAAAACACATCCATCTCTTGGGTTGATCAATTTCAGAACCCTCTTGTCCCCTTCAATCACAACAAAGAGATTAAAAAGGAAAATTGTTTATAAAGATACATTAATATTGAAGCATTTTTAAATATATAATAGAAATTTATATAATGTTTTAATTGAAAAAACAAATTCATATGATTATAAACTTTCAAATTACTAAAATATTCATAGGGTAATAATTTAATTTCAATGTTTTTTACTTTTTATTCGAAAAGTTTTAAACAATGGATATAACTGTAGTTACATAATATTTTTTATGTTTTGAACTTTCTACTTGTTTAGATTCAAACCTTTTTTGTGTGTTTTTTTAAACATACCATTAACGATGATAAATTTGTGTTGAAATAAAAATTATTTAATCATGATATTTAAATTAATAAATAGTATTTTAAATTATTTTAATTAGAGTATGATTTAAGTATAAAATTTAATCAAGTATATATTGATTAGTTTCAATATTTAAGATGATAACAAATAATTTACTTTTACAAATATTATTAACAAATATATTATGGAAAATATCTTTTATATTATTTTTGAATAATCATCACTTTTATAAAAAATATTATTTAAAGAAGATATTCTAAAAAAAAACTAAGAAACTTAATAAAACTCTTTTATTTAAATATAGGTCAAATAAAATAAGATAGATAAATAAATCATTTTATCTATAATAAATTTATATATATTATTTCACTCTTTACTGATTAAATTATAGTAACTAATATAATTGAATAAAGTTATATCAAATATAGTTTCAGATATTTATAAATTTAATTAATTTTTTATATAAGTTTGTCTTATTATAAAATGTATACCGAAAAGATAACGTGTTCCCATCATTGTTATATATCAATCATTAAAATTAAATACTAACAAATTTAAAATTAATTTAAATTTTTTAATGATGATATAATTTATAATCATGATAATATATCATATACTATAATAATAATTATAAAAATAAATAAATAAATAATTATGTGTTTAAAATAAAAAAATTTAAACATAATTTTTACATAATAATAATTATATATGACATATAATAAAAAATATATATTAAAATATGTTTAATTGGATGATTATAAAATAATTATTGTCGTATGTTTCATTATATTTTAAATAAGTTTGTCTTTTTTTTATTATTATTATTATTATTATTTTATTATGATTTACTTTCCTCTCTTTTCTTTCCTTATGAGTATCTTATTTTATAATGGATATATCATGACATGTCAACCTCGGTACAAGATACATCGACATAAAAAAAAATGTATTTTTTTTCTCTCGTTTGAAAAGTATTTTTTTTATCATATAGGTAACTTTCTCCACTAAAAGGAAAAGGAAATAAATAAAAAAAAACAATTCATTATACGTTAATGAAATTTTTTTCAGACAAATCACAAATTTTGTTAACATTGAAGTTGTAATAAAAAAAACAACAAAAGTATGATAGAAGTCTTTAAATTTCGTTTGTTAGCATTTTTATATACAATCACGATTTAAAATGTAGTTGTTATTGTATTAATAATATATAATATTATTGTATAATTATATAATAATTATATTTTATAAAATTAATTTATTATATATTTAAATATGTGCCATGATCACTTTTTTAATTATGCTCCATGAAAAAAATGACAAATTTTAAAAATATTTTATCATGGTAACATTTTAAATTTTGTAGCAATTTCATATTTAAAACATATATAAAAATAATATAAAATTATTATTATAATTGATAATATTCAATAATATAACCTTACTATCTTTTTTTCAATTAAATCATTTTTACATTATTTCTCTAAATAGTCATTTAGGTATTGTATTACCGATTTTTTTGTTATTTTGTTTGTATGTTTATTTAGAGAAGGTTAGTTAAAGAAATGAAATCGTACAACATTTGATGAGAAGTTTTTGTAATAAATTACGTAAATGCTTTGATCATTAGTTTTGTTGGCCATTGCAAAATGATCACACTTCTGCCATGCTTTCTTTGTCACACATTCCATGCTTTTTTAGGTCACCAAGATAATGAATGACATTAATATTCTTTCTTATCTACGTTTTCATGCATCCTAAGATGTTATTATGCTTTATTCTTCAATCAATTATTCAGATTTTTTTTTTAATTTGACCATCTTAATTACACGGTTATATATATATTAATTTATTTATTCTCAATATTTGTTTACTTTACCTTCTTCTTATTTCATACCCTCTTTAATTTTCTCCCTCTTATTCTTATGTGATCTAATAAAAATTATTTCATATATGTATTATTATTTTTATTTTTAGTAGATTAATTAGATATTATAATAAGTTAAATATTTAACCATTATTAATAATTTAAGTGTTAACATGTTTTTAAAAAATACTATGGTTTTATTATTGATTTTGTTTTAAAATATATTGAAAACATTAGATATGAGAACATTAAACAATATAAAAATTTAAAATTTAACAGTAAAATATATAAAATTATGACAATAGTTTAATAATAATTCAATTAAACCTAATATTTAGATTTTAACAGGTATTATTATGGCTCGCTACATTCGAATTTTGACCCATGTAAAATGTCCACGCATTCTTCCTGTCATATTTTTTGGACAACGGCTAATTTTAAACAAAAATCACCTAAATTTTTTTAAACAAATATCACATTTTTATAGGTTGATAAGTTATCTTGCACGTACAAGTAATAAAAAAAAAGTACAAAATTTAGAAGAAAAATTTACTAAAAAAAATGTAGTTTCAAACTATACTCTATTATATATTTTTGTTTTTCCTATTAAAAACTAAATACTATTCCACCTTTTGAATTATTTTAAACATACATGTTATTTATGTTAGTTACGTATTATTGATTAAAATTACTAAGTTTATTATTTTTAATAAAATATTAAAAAGTTATTTCAATCTTACCTTTCATCTTGAGATATTATGTATTTAAATAAGAATAAAATATATTTTTAGAAAACATAATTGAAAATTTTAATAAGTCATAAAACTTCATCAATAAAACAAAGAGTTAAAACAACAATAACTAGATTTAACGGTAAATTTTGTTGCCAAATAAAAATTAATTCTAACTCGACAATAGATAGTGTTAAAAAACCATCTGCATGTCCGATGAAATATATTTAATAATTACGAAAGCAATACTTTAATAAATAAGAGTATAAATAAATAAAATAATAAATTGATAACTTATATTATTACTTGAAAAAGAAAAATAAAAAGAGAAGAGATTTTAGATAAGAAAAAAGAAGTAACTTTCAAAATATGCTGCAAGGTGGCCCACAGTATATTTATGCATGGATATAACTGCCAATTTATAAAGTCCAATCCTCCACTTCTGGATAAAGCTAAGATATAATAAATATAAAAAAGAAAATAAAAAGACTCTAACGATGAAATTTACCAATACACCCTTTGTTTCCAAACCCGCACAGTTTTTACGGTCCACCTCATTCACATGGGAAAAAACCCGTCATTCATGTAGGCAAGGCTAACCTCACCCCTCCTCCTCCTCCCCCTCATGTGAACCCAAAATTAGCATCATTATTCATAACCCTAAATATCCCACCCCAACAACACAACACCCAAAATAATACTAATAAAAATAATAAAAAGACAACAACAAATTACGATAATCACAAAAACACATTCAACCCCAACCCTCGATCTTACTACATCGCTCCCTTCTTCACTTCACATGAGAGATTTCAGCGACCTTGCTTTCACGGGCTTCCTCATTCTCTTCTTCCCGCCATCGTCCTCCACCACCTCCTCTTCTTCTTCGTCATCATCATCATCCACATAACCACCAACCTCATTCTCCATCTCCGACACCGAACCACCAACCTCACCACTCCCCACATTATCATCACCACCACCCGCCTCCACCAACGTCGAATTCTCAGCCCCAACAATATTATTCTTGCTCCCTTCTCCGTTTCTATCACCTCTTCGTTTCCCCCACGATGGTCCGAATCCAGAATAGTAGTAGAATTCATATGGGTTCGAACTCGTCCCCGCCCCCATCCCCGCTTTCTTACCCGCGCCCCGAGTCTTCGTGCGGCGAGTCCCGCCTCCGCTCGGTTGAGCTTGCGATTTCTTGCTGGTGTACGAGGTGGCCAGTTGAGACAAAGACAAATGCTGTTCGCAGAATGATTGCCCTTGTTTGGCTTCATTCTTACATGCCCAACCCTTGTCACCAGTTCCTTGACAAGGGTTCAACACAGTGGCGCCGCTAGGCGCCACCAACTTATTATTATCGTCAACCACCGTCGCGCGTTCCGTTTTCTCCATCATCGACGCGACGCTGCGGCGACCACGATAATAATAATAATAATCACAACAATAATCATAATAATAATAATAATAATAATAATAGAGATAATAATAATAACAACAATACGGAGAATAATAGATAATTCGTAGAGGATTTGAGTTCATGTAAGAAAAAAAACCCTAACTGGGTGGGGATTACGTGCGTACCTTTGGACGGCGTGGAAGGAATCGCCATTGGCGTTGGGCGCGGTGTTGTGGTCGAACTGGAGAGAATGAAGAAAGGGGAATGGTGAAAAACGAGGGATAGGGATAAACCTAATTGGGAGTTAGAAGAGAAGGAGAAAAGGAGTAGGGGAGGAGAATTTAGCGTGTGTGAAGAAAGGGGAACCCTAAGAAAAGGAGGAAGAAGGAAACCCTAAAGAGGGTTGAGGGTGCGGGAATAGATCTAAACGGGGGAGGGAAAAAGGAATAGAAGGAAGAGATTGGAAGAGGGAGTAAGTAACTAACCTGGATGGAGTCATATTGAAAGGGGATGACATCCCATGGAGACTGGTTGAGCTGGCACACGTGCGTCTCCACCGGAAGGGAACCACCATCTTCACTCCACGACGAGAACAGAAGAGGGGAAAGCTTCGCGTTCTTACGGATCCTCATCACCTAGATTTTCTATCCCCCAATAGATACATATATGGATTTTATGTAATCTCAGGGCACTGGAATGGAACCGAATGGAATGGACACGCTTCCTCTCTTTCTCTTATCTCGCAGATCTCACTCTCTCACTCACCTCGATGATAATCAGGGTTTTTCCTTCGTCTTGCTTCCCCTTCCATTCATATGTTTCTGTTTCTTCTTTCCTCTGACCATTTCACCCTTAGGTTTTCCATCTATTTACTCGCCATTTCCTCTAAAGGAACCCCTGCGGCTAGCTACAACCACGTCACTCTTGCTTGTCCAAACCCTATTTATTTATTTTTTTTTCAGCGTTTCATCACCTACACACTTCCACGGTTAAAACCCCTATATATCCCACATCGTTTAAATTCAACCCTTATCTTTTATTATTTATTTATTTATTATATATTCCTTTTAAGCTAAAACTAAAATGTGGATAAAGAAAACTTTTGGGATAAGGTTTTATTCCTCTAGAAATTCAGAATAAACAAACATGTTCAAACATTCATCCCAACCAGAATATTTTATTTTATTATTATGTTTTTGTTGGGTAGATTTTCTTGTGATTTTATCTGTTGGTGGCAGGGGAGTTAAAAACGAAGGCGCGTATGTTAGACGCAGGAAATCATAGCCCTGCGTGCGGTAGGAGTGGCCAACAAGACTGGCCCACAGAAAAATTGGCTGGACCTTTGTACTTGATTGGGTCCCATTTAAGGCTAAAAGGATGAACGGTTCTGATGATGGAAAGAACGGAAGTAATGTGAGAGACTTCAGCTGCATGAAAAAGTTCAAAACTTTGGGGTATCTGATACCAAAACAGTTCATCCTTACAATCACAACAACACATACGTGGCACCAAAACCTCTACCCTTGCCCACACAATTACAAGACTTTCTTTTGTCACCATTTTATCCCATATATTTTACACATTTCTCTTTTCTTTCACCTAAACATCTCTAACACAGTGGGTGAATTTATTGACACCCCAATGGTCAACCCACAATGAGATCAATTTGGCCACAAGCTATTTACATTAACCTTTTGGCATGACCAAATGGTAGGGCAACTACCTAACAACCACAAGATAAAGTAAATGAATGTAAAAAATAACATTGAAACTAAAACAGAATAAATAAATGAATAAGGCAAAAGAATAATAAAAAGGACAATTTTGGGTTCTCTGTCTCCGAGTAGTATTTATTATATACAAGCTGTGTGATCCGAGCCATTGCAAGTGTATGGCACTATATATACCTGACCCTTTTTCCTGTAAAAATGACTAAACACAAGCACTAGTTTGTGGGGCACACAGGGATGAAAAGAGTTGCAGCCAATTTGTGCAGCAGGTGTGGGTAAAGACTAAAAAGAGTAATATAATAGAAAGCACACACCTTTTTTTAATCTCTTTTTCTGTCCCTCTTTTCTTCCTCAGTCTTCCCCAATAATTAAAAGAACAACAAACAAAAAACAATTTCTATAAATCAAGTTCTTTCAACAATGCTACTACGTGTCCGTTTCATACCAGATCTCATCTCATCATAAAAATTCATTTTATTTTTTATAGTATACTAGTGTTACAAAATATACATCCTTTTAATACTGCAGCCACGGGAATAATCAATTTGGCTTGGTTCATAAAGTAATATTCACCATCATGACGATAACATTTGGAAAGAGATTGCTAACAAAAAAAAAAAAGCCCCGTATTTTAGAAACAACAACTAAACCCCAGACCTAAAATAAAAAACATGGCAACCATTAAACGTACATGTTCTTGTGTCACCTTATATATAATTAACCTCTTCGCCCCAAGATTCATTTTTTTTTTCTATTTCATACCTCTCACCATTCTTACCCTCTTAGCCAACCCTTGATATTAAAGTACAAATATTTAATTTTAACTATATAATTTAACCCTACATAAATAATTAAAATTAAAGATGAACAAAGTTAATCTTAAACAGATGAAGATATGCTGTGCTCTTAAAAAAAAGTAATTGAGTACAGTGTCATTTAAGACATCTTTGTATATGATTCGCATGAATTTGTTTTCTGTCTCTGATTAAGGTTCTGCATGTCAACACTGAAGATGCAGAGGTTGGTATAGTTTGGTCTGTATCATTTCATAGAGATGTCCCTGTCTGTTCTTTCTTCTCCCTTTTTGCTGTATATAACTTCTAGCTAGGTGCTACCTTGCCTCACTATTTATCCATCTAAAGAAACAGGGTTTCTTCTCTGTTTGTTTTATTTTTGACCATAATTTACATGCAGCGAATAGGGTATCCTATTTTACTTTCCCTTCCTGTATATTAGGAGACGTAATCATATGAAGAGTTCCACAAATTCCCAGGTACAATGTTTTTATGCAATTTCCTTGTACTGATGATGATAATAATGTTCTAAAGAAAACATGAAAGCTGTTCACTTCATCAGTCAGCACTATTTCTAGGATCTCATGAACTTGGTGGCAGCAGATAACGTCCACAGAAACACCAATAATTCCATAAAACCGATTTCTGTGGTTTCTGTTTAACGCTGCAGGAAGTAGTATTCACCAAAACAAAAAACAGAGCAGAAAATAGAATGGCACTAAATGTTTGAATTTATGAGGCATTAGTTTATTACAGATTAAATATGAATTGAAAAACATAACTGTGGATAGTGAAAAGAATAATGAAGGCCAAAGAAGGAAATTAGGTAAATATATAGTATAGTTATCCTTAGCTCAGAAAATTTCTCTATTTACTATTCCTTGTATGTGTGCGTTCTATATTTTGTTTCCAAGTCCCCAGTTCAGCTGAGATAACACAAACGATGTCTCACTTTATTCAGAAGCAATGATAGAGAGGAAATATGAATGCACAAAATAAACAATTTCAAACCCTAAGCACGGCTTATAACAGAAAAACATAAGGAAATGATGTGCTTCAAGTTTAACCCTAAACCTAGATAACCTATAGTCATTAACATACTTGAAGTAGAGCATTTGTTTGAATATAAAGAGATACAGACAGATTATAAGTAATGAATAGAGGTGAATAAAACAAAATGTTTTGATGAAAGGAAGAGTACTGGGTGTCAGATAGGTTGGTCATACAAGAGACTATAGTTATTAATATATTTCTCAGATAAATTGGTGCTTGATGTATGTCTATGTGTGCGATCTATATCATATTCCTACTTTCTACTTGTGATGTATAATGATTAACAAAAGGTATATATAATCTCAATAATCTTCACAGCGATAGTTTTCTCATATCAAGTTGCGACAAGTTCATTTGCATCAACTGCTAGATAAGTGATGAAGTGAGGGGCAAGGAGAGTTTGCAATTTCATCTTTTAACATAATTTATACCAGAAACCTTCTCTTCTTTATTAACCCCATTTACCAAATGGATGCAAAAGTAGCAGGGCAATGGCAGAGTCCTCAGTCGCCAACTTGGCTTGCAAAGAACACTGATTTGCTTTGACTGCCAACGCATGTGCTCTCTGAGGCCCTTTTCTTCTCATGAGATCCTATCTTAGTGTCCTTACCCACACACCCTTCGTCTTTACCCTTGCGTTTTCACACTGCAATGGCTTCAAAGTGGTGTGTGTTGTAACCAGCATAACACGATTAATAGATAACTTTGTCTTCTAAGTGATCTAGAATCGTGCTTGAAGAAAAATTTGTCCAAGAAATCAGCTCTTTAAGTAGAGTTGAGTATCTTGAAAGAGTATTCTTTAACTTTTGGGCAAGGGATACACTGGATTCATAAAGGGAAAGTGGTGCTTGGTCTAAAACTTTGATCCGAGTGTGTATAAACACTTGTCTCACAACTGACAAGTAATCACTATCTTTGATAATCCTTGTTTGCATGCCTGAGTGTCTCTGATTCAGAGAGTATCCAGACCCACTGGTCCTTGTGGCTTGCTATCTTACTCTCCTGCCACAATGAGTCAGTGCCTCTCAGACAAAGTACATCACCATTGTACTACAATTACAGAATGATTACTGAGATTTCTTGTTTATTCACTAAAGTGGAGCTAGCTAGCTATCCTGCAGCTATTGGTCAAAGTGAGAACCATATAAAATCATACATGACCTGGAATAGCTTGAATTCTAGGTGTAGGATGCATAAATTCCATAATCAAGCAGATTCTTGCAAGTGCCAGATTTGAGGTGAGTGTGACAACGATTGGAATATTTAACATCGACAAGATACACGCGATAATGCAGTCTGATATAGTATATGCAATATTTGTTTGATTAATACTAATATTACTGTGTAGCTGGGCTACGATGACTACAATGGTGTTTTTTTGGTACATTCTCAATAGAACGATGAAAAAGAATATAGGGTGGAGACTCACTGTCAACACAGAATGAGATGGCTGCATATAGTTCATACTAAATTACCTAATTATATGCTTCTTTGAAATTAATATACTTTTTACTTACCCATCTCCAAAGGTTTGCTTCACATACCTCATACCAAATTACCTAATTATTACTTCGGTTTCATTTAGTTAATTCTGTTGTTGTTATCAAGAGTGGTTTCTAAATAAAATGAATATATTGCACCAAGTATGGACAAAAGAAATTTATACTTACTAAACACATAAATTATTTACAAAATATTTTTCTGAAATTCGTATATTGTTTCAAAAATATCAATGATATTGCTTGTAATTATGTTATCGTTGAAAGTAGTTTTTAAAAATTAAAACTACTCAATTCTATACGTTGTAAAATAACCCGATTTTTTTTTTCAAAATAATCTTATTTTAAAATAAAATTACATAACTAAAACCTGTGCAAATTATTTACGTAATAGACTTATTTACTTTAGTGTTAAAGATTAGTTTCCCTGGGCCGAATTCTCTTCTTTTATTGTATTATGAATTTGTTCTTACTATATTTAAATTATTAAATAAAAATAATAATAATTATTTTAAATAAAACATAGAATTATTATTAATTTTTTTATTATTTTAATAATAATAATTCTTTTTATTTTAAAGTAATTTTATTTATTTTAAACTATTAATAATCATTATGCCTTTAAAAAATGATTTAAAATACTTACAAAAAAACTATTTCATACTAAAACTGATATTATAAATTTTAATAATAAGAAAATATTTCATTTTTTTTAATTTACTAAATTTAAGAATTTATTAACAATAATAAAATCAAAACAATATTTTGCATATTAGTTGTCTTAAAAGTCAACTATTTCGAAGAAATCATATCCATATATCTCTCTGTCTTTTTCATGTCACATTTACTCTTTATATTTTATCAATTGAATTAATTTAAAAAAAATTATATTTATAATTTTAAATTCTATATAACTTAAATATGTGTATTAACCATTCTTAAATTTTTATGTTGTTTTAAAACTTTCTTTTCTATTATCCGTACGTTCTTACGTGTTGTCACTTGTCAAATTTAGTTATCAACCAGAGTTTGATGCCAAAATGGAAAAACCCACAACGGAAAAAAAAAACAAATAAAAAATATAGCACGTGTGAGACACTTCCCTACGGTTCGCGTGGCATATGCATGAACCTGAATTTGGGCCAGTTGGTCCAAATTTCAGGTCATGTCTTCCGAATCAATAAAACCCGAAGATTTCTTCTCTACCTAGTAACTGAATTCAGTCATTAAGAGAAAATAATAATAATAATAATAATAATAATAATAATAATAATAATAATAATAATAATATTCTCAATTTAAACTAAGTGATTGATTTGCGTCAAATCGAAATTATTTTAAATAAATTTTATTTATATTTTTAAATTTAAAATTGATCTCGAGACTTCAAACATTTTACATGTAATAATTATATCTTTTATGCGATTAATTTTTTTTGCGTAATTAAAATTACTTTAAATAAATTTTATTTTTCAAATCCACAATGTGCATGTAACACTTTACATACATGTTTGATTATACGTTCAAGAAATGTTTTAATTATTAAATATAATAATTTGATAAATAAATTTTAAAAAATATATGTAAGTTTTAATAAATATATTATTTGAATCATTTAAATTAAAATTAACTATTTTTAAAATGAGTTAATGCAATTATAAATATATTTTAACTCCATTTAATTTTTTTTAAAATTATAATTAATTAAAATGTAATTTGTATAACTTATTCCGATTATATATATACATATATATATGTTATTGGACTAATTCATTAAATTATATTTATTTTGAAAACTCCACATAATATATATTCTAAATAAGGGAATTATTTATTAGAAAACAATTTAAACTTATATTCTAACATAAGTCTTGAATTTGAGTATTGGAAGTATAAGAAGAATAAGAAGGAATATTCTACTAGAAATGATGCTTCAAAGGAAGATCTATATTGTCTAATTGGAAAATTAGAAAATATGTAATAATTAGTAAGTGACCAACTTTTTTAAATTAAGAATATGTATTTTAAAATTCATAGACCAAAAAAATCTCATACATATAATGTAATATTATAATCCTAATCTTATTTGAATATATGTTTAAAAATATGTTGGATTAATTTTGAACATCTCTTTACCGTTTTCAATTTTAAACATTAAAAAAAAAAATGAGAGTTACAATAAAATTAACCATAACATGTTATCATTCCTGTAAACTGAATTTTCCCGTGAGCATGTTTAGAAAATTACGAATGTGTTAACGAATGAGTTGTATTTTTTTTCTTACATATATTACGGAAAAAGTACGGTGAAGATGAATAAAAAAAAGATATTATTTAGTTTTTTTTATTTTAAAGATAATTTTAAAGATAAATTGAAAATTTTAAAAAATTAATTGATATTTCTAATTTAAAAACCATTTTCGAAGAATTAAAATTATATTCACACTGAAAAATTACGATAGAAAATTAAAAAAACAATTTTGATAATTTATAATGATGAAAATAAATTATAGAATGTAAATATTGATAAATACGTGAATATTATTAATAAAAATAAAAATTGATCAATTTTAACTTTTTAATTTTAATAAAATTGATAAAATTATTTTAAAAATAATAAAAAAATGAAGATTTTTACATTAAAAAAAAAGAGATAAAAAAAATAAAGAATTGAATAGGAATTTCTATTTGCACTCCCTCATTTTACTACTATGTTATTTTTTAATTATTATCTCTTATTACTCCACACTACTTCTTTTTCTTCTTCTTTTTTTTTTTCATTGAGCTTGAAATTATTTGAAAGTATCACCTTTTCTTAATAACCCTTTTCTTTGTTCTAATTATTCCCATTACACATGATCCTTCTTTCTTTGAAAGAAGTGTTGTCAATTTTGAAGTTATACACTACACTCTCATGCTTGAAAAAGATGCAAATACTTATGCTTCCCACTATGGAAGCATTTTTTATTTTGTGAACCTCAAACCAACCATAGCCAAAAGACAAACACAATAAGATTCAACAATCTCAAAGTTTGAGAAACCATTGGGTGTTAAAAGTCTTATTGACCATTTTGTGGATTCAATTCAAACAAGAAGATTTAGTTGAGTTGAAATTACAAAAATTTAAAAGGGGAGTATGTTAGTAAGATAGGAAGTGTATTTAGTATTAACCTAAATTTAGAGATGTCTGATGCAAAAGCCCAATCCCAAAACATATTTTCAATAAGATTTAGATAATTTGCATAAAATTTAATTACCCATTCACCACTCCAAACAAATTCTTTATATAATATAATTTATTTAGAATAATAGTATATATATCCGGTATAACAATCAATGATTCATTTCTCGAAATAATAAAATTTATTTAAAGGAATTAATCAAGTTCGAAAACATATTCCTAGTAAAAATAAGTAGTTCTAAAAATTAGATATCTACAGCTTAAAATTTGTGAAAAACATTAATTTAAATTTTATTTATTTATAAAAAATAGTAATACTTAATTTCTGTGCAAGTGAGATGGGAAATCTATGGGATTTTTGTGAGGTCTCATCCACTATAAAATTTCCTTCTTCTTTTTTTACAAAATTGATGAGTTATTAAATATTATAAAATATTCCCCCCAAAAAAATGATAATAGTTTCAATCATGAAATAATTTATTGCAGGTCACCATCACTCTCTGCTGCCAAAATTTAGAGCATTAATTATATGTTGTCTTTTCCAAAATCACAATGAATGAGTAGGTTAGATTAACACATGATTTGGTTTTGTGATAAAGATAATAATATTCTTGTTTATAGTAAGATGATATTATAAGTATATAAAAATGTGATATTTTTTGTCACACTACTTTATTCTAAAAATAATTTTCATTATGCATTTTTATTTTGATTTTTTTTATTATATTCTTTATTTTAAAGAAAAATTTTGGTTATGTCCCTCGCCTTAAAACTTTATTTAATTTTAATTTAAACTGTGGTTGTTGCAAATTTTAACAAAACATTTTAAAATACTAAAAGTTGTATATAATCAAAATACATGCACATAAATTGAAAAATTAAATTTTGAACATATAATAATAATAAAAAAAAACATAATTGTTCATCAATTATATCATGTCCCACCAAATAGGTTGGCTGATTGGAAAACGCCACCTTATAAAATTCAGGCAAGCAATCTTCCAGGGATTTGAGATTATTTAAAAAATCAAACTTTTTCTTTGGTGATTCATCATTCAATTTTTAAAGTTTTGGGTGATGATTTTTATGTTTAACAAAGTGCACAAGTCATGATTATTTTTTTTATAAAATCAAAAACTTCTCTGCATTATTTTCATGTCATCAATTTAAGCAAAAATGGAACCTACTGAAGCACTGATATTGGGAGACAAACTCTTACTGAGAGGATTGTCATTTCATGGTTTTCATGGAGCATTACCTGAAGAAAGGAAGCTTGGTCAGAAATTCTTGGTAGATGTTGATGCATGGATGGATCTCAAAGAAGCTGGCAAATCTGATAACTTATCAGATACAATCAGTTACACTGATATATATGAGTGAGTCTCCAACAACTTCTTCATCATTTGGATCGTGGCATAAACTTCTCACATTAATGTAAATAATTGTTTAAGATCCAAAATATCCCTTGTGTCAAGGACATAATATTTAATTGTATATAACAAATAGTAGGATAGTTTCAATAGATTTGGTTAGATAATAAGATAAAGATCATCATATATATCTTTGTCAGAAATAACTTTATATCAGACAATTATTTAAACTGATATATGTTAGAGTTATCAACAAAGTTTTTCATGATTGAATCATTGCATAAACTTCTGATGTTAGTGTAATGTTATTAACATGTGTATTTATGATTGGTGATGCAGTATAGCTAAGGAAATTGTTGAAGGGCCAGCTCAAAATCTTCTGGAATCAGTGGCTGAAAAAATTGCAGTGACCACTCTGAGAAACCATGAACAAGTATCTGCTGTTAGAGTGAAGATTGGAAAGCCTCATGTGGCAGTTCAGGGTCCACTGGATTACTTAGGCGTTGAGATTCTTAGACGCAGAAGTGATTCCTCAAATTAGAAAACTTTCACACTTAATCATGTCTTATGTTCTGGTTCCTCTTTTTTTGTTCTATGTTTTTGTTTTCATTGTTGTTGTTTGTTTGAAAAGTGTTAATTAAGAATATGATTTTCATAATATTTTTTCTATGGTTAAAGTTTATTGAAATTTGTAATAAAATTAAAATATGAAAATTAGGTACTACCAAATAAACTATGCAATTAATTTGGACTAAAAAAAAATAAAAAATTGCTGAGACAATAATTCAATGAGTGAGATATTTGTTTTTGAAGAAACTATCATTACTTGATAATGATTCATTTGTAATCATTTTATATAACACTCTTAAATCCGATGATAATTTTTATAGATTAATATTAATATAAGTTTATTGAACAAAGATAAAGCAACATCCAACACATAATGTTAAAGACCATTGCGAACATTTGAAGGAAAGTATTTAATTTTCCTCATTTTTAAGACTCACTTAATTTATGGTGTGTTTAGCAAAATTAACTAAAAAGCTAAGGAAAGTTTATAGATAAAATAAAAAAATAAAATAAAAAATCGAAAGGAGTAATGAGGTTATGATTAAAACAATGGTTGCTAGTTATAATATATGTTAATTATAAAGAAAATAAAAAAATAATATTAGCATTAATTACATAAATAATGCTGGCAATAGATATAAAGTATTAATATTATTACATATCCTAAATAAAATGAAAGATAATAAAAATTAAAAAAAAAATCTAAAATAGAGTTATGAGGTTTTGATGAAGGAACACAAAGTTCTATAATTAACGAAAATATATTTGCATTGTGTACACCTCTTTGTTATGTTTTTATTTTAGGTTATATTTAATGTATATATTAGTTTTAAAATATAAATATTTATTTATAAAATTATAAATTATTTTAAATAAATAAACGGAGGAAGAAATTATATATATATTTAATTTTTTTGGAAAACAAAAAATAGAAAAAAAACATAAATATATTAATTTTCTCTTCTATAAAAAAAATTGGTTATAAAAGGAATCCCTTTTATATATAATTATAAATATAAATATAAATGTAATAATTTTTAAAATAAAATAAAAATTATGTAAAATAAAAAAAATGGAATGCGAATATAATTTATTCTTTATTTTATTAAGAAATATTGGATTCTTGATAAGAAAATATAGTAACTGTCAAGTTTTTTTTCTTGACATAACCATGCAATTATTGATGCAAATAAAAAATTAAAATTAAAATTTTTAAATATAAAAATTAAAGATTTCCTATTAAAAACACTGAATGTTTAATTAATAAAACTATCATAAAAATTATACTATCACTAAACTATAAATTGTCTCATAAAAACATAAAAAGTCATTATATTTGGAAAACATAATTTAATATAAAAATAATTAACTATGATATATATGGTTTTATTTATTAACTTCGTATATAAATAAAATAAGACATGATCTTTTTTCTTTTTACCTACAGTAGATTTCCGTCAATTTACTATGAGCACAAACTTTTATGTACAAAAATATTTGACATGGAAAAAGTAACCAAAAGCTCAAAAGAAAATAATACTCAAACCTTCTTGTCATATTACTCCCTGTAAACTTAATACCTTGTATATGAAACCAATATGATCTTCTAAACATACAAGACATCTCAACTTAAAAGAATTTTGATAGGTTGAAAGCAAAATAAATTAATTTCGAATCATTTTCACGCCTAGCAAAATGGATTGGCTACTAGCCAAAAACTACAAATCAAAATGCTGAACATTTTCCCATCAACAGTGAATGATGCCTAAACCTAAATCACTTCCTATGTTTGAATAACTTATCTTGTACGCATGAAGAAGTCTCAAAATTGAACTGCCTTGTAAATGGAGTTATATCCATCATTAAGTTACCTTCAAGCTTATCTAAATTACTAACTGAATTCAGACTTGGCCTTCATCATCATGCATTCCAATATTAGTTCATGTAGATACCTTGTTGAGATCACATTGAACTTAGTCCATCCAAATCACAACCCTGGAATTTGGCTATTACTTTTTTTTCTTCAATTTTGGCTTGCTTGGCTCATTTCTTGATGCAATCTTCTCACGTCCATCATTTCCTTCGGATTTCTTGTGTTCTTTACTATGTTTAGATCTTTTCTTTCTTTCACTACCATCTTGAATATGCTCTTTGTTTCTGGCAGATTTTTTTCTTTTCAAAGGTGTTGCTTCAACTTCCTCAGTCAGATTTTGTTCCTTGCATGATAGCAAATCCGTTTCTGAAGATATATTTAATTACATAAAATTAGAGGAGATCAAGTAGAAGGGACCACAATCACTGAAGTCATCGCGGTAATAATAAAAAACATACAGGATTCTCTTATCAAGTTGATAATTTTAATATATCAGAAAGAATACTGACATCTGTATCCCCCGAATTAATGTTTATTTCAGACCCAACAAGTTTTTGTTGTTCATAAAACTAATGTTAATGTGTGACACTAGTGAGTGGACTGCTCCAGGCATAAAGAACTAGTGACCCTACGAACTTAAATGTCGTTCTTGTATGTTTCATTCAACGAAGATCTTTTAATAGTATACTGAAACAGAAGTAAAATACTGACCTTTAACATCAAAGTTAGAGTCAAAAAGAACGTGCACAACATGTTGCTTCAGGAAAATCTGCAACCGGTAAATAATTGTATAAATGATTATGACTACATGAATAAAGAATTATTTTAAAAACAAACACGCAGATACGTACAACTATAAGCAGAAAATAACTAAAAAACAATTCTAACAACCATTGAGGATCCTAGTTGGTCAAAGTGTAAAAAGGTTTCCATGTCAAAGACCAAAAACTGTGTTTCTTACAATATAACATCTTTTTTCCCTGGCCCTCAACTCTTAAAAGTGGGAAAACTGAATAGTAAAAAGCAATATAAAATAGTCCTTATCAGAATATATATGTTTAATCTTAAAACAGGTTAATGGGCTTTAGTTTATAGGTTTTATAACAGGGTCACGATATATTCCAATAAATAGTTTAGAAATTATAATGCACAAATATCAATACATCCATTTTAATTTCCAGCACTATCCCAATAACAAGAACTATATAGCATGCTATCATCGACTAAGAAATAGGGTATAAAACCTACAGCAGAAAGAAGCTGTCTTGTCTTTGTATCCCAAAGGCGTAAATAGCTGTCCAGTCCTGAAATGAAAGATCATGAAACTGAATTGATAACAGGAACTTAACATACTTTTATCATTACAAGAATAATGAATCACTCTTCATCCAGAGAAAACACACCCTGCACTTTTTGGATAAGCATAAGGAGCAATCATGCAAAGGTAGATATAATTTTTTTCCCCAAAAACTAAAATAATTTTAGAAACAACTAAATCAATTTTAGGGAAACAAAGACTGGATTAGATAAACTTCCTCATAATGCAACAAATGAAAGGAAATAATAGAGTAGCGCTCACCACATGAAGCTACAACAGGTAGCTGAGGGTGCCTGACTATGGATCTGATGCTTCCAGAGCATTTTCCAGAAAAACCTCCCAGCATTTTTCCTGCAATAAAATTATTTGATAAAACAATTAACATAACAAATTCATTCAAAAAAGACAACAACAACCATGAATTTTCTGACTAATTAAGGTCAGTTCCATGGAAGAAAACATGTCAGTAGATAAAATATTGACTTCTAAATCTTTATTAATTATTTAACCTGTAGATTTTCTCAGTCACCTGTTGCCCCTAGCAATTAGCTACACACTCCATCTAATCTACTCTCCTTAACAAAGCTTATACAGGTTTTTACACAGATGCCCAAATCACCTAGGCAAGTTTCTACCACTTTTATACAATAGTGCTATCCCAAGACAACAGAAGCAAAATAAAACATAAAACAAAAGTTGTAACAAACCGAAGCTGTGTTACCGCAGTTGCACCATGCCACAACCAGTAGTCTAAATGGTAGTAGCAATGTGAATAGATTAGCCACTAGGCCAAATGAAGCTTCTAAACTATACTCAGTGTTATCAATGTCAGATAAAGGTAAATATCGACAACAAAAAATCTTTTATGAAAATATATTGGATGTTATAACAGGTTATGACCGAAGTATTGCAAAAGCAAATATATATATATATATATATATATATATATATATATATATATATATATATATATATATATATATATATATATATATATATATATATATATATATATCAAATAATTAATAATAATATCAAGTATATAATTTCAAACAACATGTTGCTTTAAATTTTAAATTGCATTATTTAGCTGACATTGAAGTTCCTGAAAAACTAAGTTTAACATTTTAGATATATAAATTATAAAAAAATTGGGGAGGTTGGCTATGGCTGGATCGAAGAGGAAAGAGAATAAAAAAAAAAAAAAAAAAAAAGGGGCCGAATGAACTAAGAGTGAAAAAAAAAATGAAAAGGCAAAAAAAGGAAAAAAAAAATGGTTGGGTCACCTTTCTGCGTATGAATGAAGGAAGAATGAAAAATAAAATGGAGTTGAACATAAAAAAAAAAAAAAAAAAAAAAAGAGAGACACGGATTAAACATGGAATGGTGATGACGGCAGCAGGGATGACTCAGATTTAAGGTGAGGGAGAAGTGCAAGAGATGTGGGCTGGATTGGGTCTTTTCTTTTCTAGCTGTCAGGTTTAGGTTGGACTGCTAACCTAACTTTTTTTTCTCTTTTTTCTCCTGCTAGTGGGTTGGGTCGCTTATAAACTCAAGAAAACCCACAAAAACAACAAAACATCAGATTAAAAGTAGAAACCCAAGGTTAATACTGGGTTGGGTCAGATCATGCAATGCCGCTATGGACGAGCTGTGTGGCTGTGGGAGTGAGATTTTTGCAATGCCATTCCACGACAGCAATGCGACCACTATGGGCCGCCATGCAAAATCCGTTTTACCACCGCCTTGCTGTGGTGGAAGACAAAAAATTCTGCTTCTAATTTCCACCATGGTGACACCATGGCCATTTTTCAATAACACTAACTATACCAACATAGGTAATCACATTTTGAGGGAACTGTTGATATGCAAATTGTGAGATTTTAAGACCCCTTCCCTCTTTAATCAATAAAAGGAAGGAAGTGTGAATAATCCTCTAACTGATCATAAGAAATAATTAGAACCCATCTCATAATATTTATTGATATTTAAGTAGTCATGCTTAAACTGTATATTGGAACAAGTAACCGAAAATCCTCAGTAAAGAAGCAACATTCATCAGCATAGAGGTTACACAAGGCATAAAAATGACACTTCACAAAGCTAAACCGAATTACAAAAAAATAAGCCCTGTTCATGAGATAGATACCTCATTATCTTATGCTTAACCTAAGCTAAATCCACACTAAAATTTCGCCAAATCTTGTCCTCAATAAAGGTAAATACAAGCATGGAGCAAGGTTGCATTTTGTTTTATGGACTAAGATAAGAAATGTTAAAGCAGTGAGTGAATTGTCAAACATTTGGAAATCACAACTTTCATGTTTACATCAATTGCTACAAATGTGCATCTAACTCTCCCATTTGAAGTGCTTGGTGCAATTCTTAAGAAACACGATCCAACTAATTGTTGGCAACAAATAACTAGAGTATAACATTGTCCCAAAGAAAATAAAATATATTTATGTAAAGAATAACAAATACTTTGATAAAGAAAACAGCGTCCAAAAATATGACAATTTTCGCATTTTGAGATACCTGTGCGTATATCAAAAGAAGCCATGTCACCAGACCCATTCCCTACATAGACTGAATAGCCATCTATATCCTCAGCCACTGCTTTAATTGGTGTCTCACGAAAATCAAATGATAGAACAGGCCTCCTCTGAGCAGATATGTCATAAAGGCGGACCTAATAAAGAGTAATGAGAAAAATTATTATAAATAAGTTGATGGAGGAAAAAAAAATAAAAGAGACTAAGAATTTATCCCTTTCTGAATTGAAAAGGTTATGAAAGGGGGAAATTTGCAGTTTAATAAAATATTACATATTTTATATTTGTTAACAAGACAGAAAGACCGTGCTACTTAAAGTTCACGTGAAGCTAATTGATTAAGAAAAAGAAAAGGTTTCACACAAAACAGCATTTCCATTTCTCAATAATCCTAGCTAAAGAGCAACTTACTAATCTTTCTCACTAGTATCGCACACATTTTCAAGGATATAAAAGAGGATAATTCCATGCGTTATTAGATATAAAAAAATCTTCATTTATTTTAGAATTTGAGACAAATCCACTAACTAATTTTACCTGATGACTGTTGGTGCCAGCAACAAATTTTCGATGGTCATCTTTCATAAGAAATGTGGCAGATGTGAACCAAGTAGGTGTAAATATACCAAGGTTATTCTTAGGTGGCTGCATAGGTTAAAAGGAATTGTAAAATCAAATACTGTGCACCAGTAAAAGATAAATTGGAGGAAGATAAGTTAACAATTAATAACGAAGATGAAAAGTAGGGCTGAAGTAATGACTCACAGGTTTGGAATTCCAGATCTTAGTCAGGTTGTCAATATCCCAAATATTAATTTCAACCCCTTTCCTACAGACAAAGTACTTATTTGTTATTTCTCAGCTGAAAATATGTATAGATAACAGTTATAGAATTAATGCTTCTGCAGTAAGGTTGAGTATTTCTTTAAGGTTCTCACTTTATGAACCTTCCATAACAGAAGATTCTTTGGCTTCCTCAAACTCGTGAAAAAATTCAATTCCTTATAAATTTAGGTAAGTGGAGTTTGTGCACACCACCCTTGATACCACGTGAAATTAGTGTCCACAAAAGAAAGGTCAAGTGGTCACATCTTTCAGGCCCAAGTTTATACATGGACTAGATTGCACTATACAAAAGTAAGCAGCTGGGATGGTAGATAAGTCTTTATTTCTGAAAATTGCACATATCAGAAGCACCAAACTCCAAAGGCAACAATTATTTGCTTTTACAATTTGGTTGAGTCAAGTGTCATCTATTATGTGGAATTTGCTCAAAATTTATTATATGAAGCAGGTTTACCCAGATAGCTGCAAATTTACTCGGGGGATAGTGGCACTATGTAGAAGAGGATTTTTTTTTTTAAATAAATTTCTTTGCTAATCATTACTTTAGGGAAATACCTATATTGAATCTTCAAAGAAGAAAAATTCATTATTTGAATATCCTTTCATCTTTACAGTTCCCATTTTTTACCATGTCTGGAGACTTGTCTTATATACTTTTTTCATCTCTTTTATATCACAAAATGTTTCACTATCAAAGTTGAACGAACAATTTATTCAAAATGTTAATAATCACTGTATTCAACTGAACTTTTAAGTTTCTTTACCACACTTATGAAAAATGAACTCACCCTCCAAATAAAGCAAAGTTCTCATTTCCGTCCACCTTGCAACACAAGATGTTACCACCAGAGCATACATTCCATGTTTTTGGAGAGTCAATACAGGAAGACTCCTTAGATGAATCAGCAAATTCAATGGACCTTATGCTAGCATTTCCTTTGGTTGTGCATGTAAGTAGAGTACAACACCTAAACAATCACCAAATCCAAATGATTTAGGAAGTACACAAACACAAAATCAAGTAGCTGATATCACAAAGCCACATATACATACATAAGAGCGTAATGGAAGCAATTAATATATTTTGAACACGAAAGAACAAGTTCATGTACATACAGAATAAAGATATACTTTTGTTTATGGAATACTACTAGATACAGGTTATAGAGATTAGCAAAAGAAAGTAAGAGCATTTGGATTGGATACCCAGCTCCAACTCCATCAATAAGTATCCAGGATCAAGAATTAGGCCTTACCAAGGAATACAAGTGCCTGAAATCCCAATTCAAAACTAATTGATCAACTAACCAATGCGTTCAGCATTATGGTAGATACCCATTAGTTAGGTAGTTAGTTACTTAGTTACAAAAATAGTAAGAAATTTGTTGGTTAAAGAAATGAGTCATGTTTCCTAAGAGAGGGCAATCTCATGCAGACCTTCAAAGTTCTGCCTGTTAGCCACTGTATTCAGGGGACAATTTCTTATTTTCTTCTAATATAAGTTACCAAGTTCCTATTACAATTTCTAGCTCTATTTCTAGAAACCTAACCAATTAACTTAACAGCTATACCAGCAAATGCTACCCTTAACTAACAAGGCCTGACTAACAGAGCCTGACCAGTTGATTCCTAGGTTCCATACTTATTTTTCCTAACGTAAACATTTCTAATTGGCAATCAGAATACTGAATGCATAAAATTTAGTATTTTTCCTGATAATCTAACCATGCAATCATCCAAAAGCACCCAAACTAAATTAATGAATGGATAAACATCGTGCCAATCCTCCTCCTGCTATAAAGGATTCATAAAGCCTTTGTCAAGGTGCAAAACCAAAAAACAAAAAGAACTTTTAAAATGTTCCCCCCTGTCTCTCCTCCCAAACCTGTATCTATTAAGTCAAGCATTAGCACTACTAGTATGATTCCAAAACCACTAATGAAAAGATTAATAACCCTAATATTCCAACAACTACCAAGAAGGACTATATGTGAAATTTAAATACACAGAAATCTCAACATATCACAGAAGTCTAACATGTGCCCTGTTGTATTTACACAATCACATCAGACAAGGCATACATAAACAATTCAATTAACGGAATTTTACTTTTGTTGTTTTTCCTCAAGACTTCAACAACATTGAGTATAGAATCTGATATGTTAAATTAAACTGTCAAACAGTGGTGATTTATATACCTGGAAGGTAATTCCGAATTTTGTTTTTCAAATAAATGCAAACCAACAATGTTATTCTCTTCAGATTGAACATCTAAGCCACTGGTATCCGAAATTGTGGCCTGTATATCTCCGTTCACAGGGCTCAAAACTTCAATCTGTAGAATGAATATAGAGTTAAATAGTAAATGTTTAATAACTAATACTAAAAACCCTTTTTCCCAGAACAAACAATAGAAGTATAGACCTTGAAGAATCTCACCTTCTTGTTTTTCCTTGCTACAGCTAATAACTGCAGTACCATAAATGATAGTGTAAACAATGAGAAAAGTACTTTGCGGTTTTATTTGGTCAAACTAAAAAATCTCAACCAAACAGATAGAAGACCGACAGTGTTATATGGTAGTCAGGTAGTGAATGCAGGGCAGTTGAGTGCCAATAAAAGCAAAGAATAAATGTTGTAAAAATGAGGATACTGAAGTACATGAGTTAGTTAGCAGTTGAGACACAAAAAACAAAATTAGGAATGAATGTACTCAGACGAAAGTTCAAGCAATGCCTATTAAGGAGAGGATGATAACTCACCAAGAAGGGTTAAAAGAAAGTCACGAGACAGAGACAAATATGTACTCAAACAATAAACATACCCAGAACAGAACAAACAAAAAAGAAAACACTTTGTCAATACATACAGGCTGACTGTTGCGATCAACCATTGAAACAGCCATCACACATTTGGATGATTCAGGCTCGCCCCATCTCTCTACCACCTGGGCAACTCCTCGTTGCTTATCACGGGCCTCCACAACTATAAACACAAGCCAAACCCAGAAATTTAAGAAAACGAAAGTCGCACATCAGAAAAGGGCATTTGAAAAGGGCATCACCTTTGATGAGGCCAAGGACGTCAAATGTTAAAGCTCGTAGAGGAGGGCAACCAGCACACTCCACAGTGGTTGTCCGTGGCATCTTTCACCTCAAGGAAAGTAAACTACGGCGGGGACTTTGAAGGGAGCTTAACAAGGTAGTCAAAATCGCGTTCTGGAGCGTAAGCGTAGGTTCTGCAGCGCCTCTATCGCATGGGTGTTGCGGCGTCTCCGTCGCGTGGGAGCTGGGTGTCTCTGTTGCGTGGGTGCTGCGGAGTCTCCGTCGTGTTGTTGCGGTAGCGTTTGTCACGTTGGAGCAGCGGCGTCTCTGTCGCGACCGGTCGCTTAAGTAGTTATGGGGGGCGCGGGGGAAGAAACCTAGGAGAGGAGTGAGTGCAACACTAGAAAGAGTGCTCTTTTAGCATTTAATTATTTAATATAAAATATTATATTAAAATAAAATAAGAAGGTACGTTAGAAAATGCCATATTTTTATTTAATTTTCAATACAACAATCTAATTTTTTAAATAAATAACTTAAATTAAACCAAAATTTTTTTTATTATTATACTAAAACGAAAATTGATGATATAGAAAGTTGATATTTTATCCAATTTTTTAAACGTAAAATTCGTCCTAATTTTGTAAATTATTTTTAAAACCAATTTTTTTTCTTTATTCAAAATCAAAACACTTTAAAACCAATTCTGTTTGTGTGACGTGAAATGGAAATATGCGTTGGGATTGGGCTTCTGGACCAGACATCTTTCAATTCCGGCTAATGCTATATACACTCACTATTTTACTAACACACTCCCCTATTGAACAACGTGAGGTTTTGAGAAATAAACATCAAAAGTTACATACTCGCAAATTTGATAAACCATTTTGCAAGAGTAATAAATTGGATTAATATATAACTAAAACTTAATAAAAAAAATTAAACACTAAAAAAGGTTAATTACTTTTCATGAAAACAATCATCCATAATCCCTTAAGTACATTTTAACGTCATTTTAATATTATATTGAATTTTTTGTTGAACAAATATATAATAATTTTAAAGATGTAAACCTGACCAAATTTTCAATTCACTTATTTCAAAAATATTGTTAGCCATGTGAATTTTCCACCATTTTCCAAGAATATCACATAATCAATATTTTGTCTTAGAATTTTTGAGTTGGGAACTACTTTTTACAGCAAAATCATTATTTCTTAAAAATCAATTTTAAATACCAAATATTTTATTTTATTTTATAGCTAAAGCTGTAATAAATTAAAAATTATATTTACATATTTTATCACCACTACAAATTCTTGCAAAAATTGTCTTGCCATTTACAAATTACGGGACCAATACATTTCTTTAAACACATTCTCCATAGATACTTCTTTTTAAACACACAACTTTAACCATTTTAAAAGCAACCCACCATTTTTTGTCCAAAAAAAAAACGATTTGACAATTCATATTTGCATTATGAAGGGTGGAAAAACATGTTCATATTGGAAAATAAAGTCTATCTTTTATATACAAATTTTGTAGCATTTAATAATTAGTATTTGTCATAAAAAGTATATACTATAAGAATTAAATTCAGAAAATGTATTATTTTATGCCTGATTTTTAATATTTAATAACTATTTTTATTATATAATTACTAAAAAGGAATTTATATATTAAAATTTTATAATGAATTAATTAATATTACAAATATAAACTAAAATCATGAAAAATAAAAAGACTATTAGTATATTTAATTTTGTAAAACATATCAACTAAATAAATATCTTAAATAGATCTCAATAATAATAAAAAATCGATATTTATTTTGAAACAAAAGATACATTGGTTAAACACAAAGTTGTTTCTTTCTGCTTGATTGACGTAAGACAATGACCCATTGAACTTTATTAATTGGTTTATATCATTTTCTTTGGTGTAGCTTTATTCTTTCTTTTTCAAATTTCACCAACTTTAATTAAATAGTTTCTAACATTTTTCCATTCAAATTCAGGAGCCGTTTCTGACCCACTCTCGTTTCATTCATGGGTTGGTGGTGCATTCAAACTTTTTCTGGGTGTTTTTATTTTTTTTATTCTATGGGCCGATATACAGGGGTTTGAAATCTACAAAATTTTGTACAAATTTTAATTTCTATTATCCCCTGTTTGTTTGAACTGATTTGCGACGAAATACTGTTCACGAAGACAGAAACACGAGATTCACCCACGTTTGGTTGAACTGATTTGCGACGAAATGCAGGCGAGGAAGAAGAAAAGAGATGAAAGTAATGAAAAGTCGCTATTACCCTGCAATATATGATAGCGGTTAAATCTTAACCGCTATTATAACAGCACTTGTAATAGCGGTTAAAACTTAACCGCTATTATATATCACTTCTAATAGCGGTTAAAACATAACCGCTATTATATATCACTTCTAATAGCGGTTAAATCTTAAACGCTATTATATATCACTTAAGATAGCGCTTACAGAGGAACCGCTATTATATCCTCCAATATTTCGCTCGAGCGAGACATAGTCGCTCAAGCGAAACACAACCCGAGACTGAAGAAATTAAAATATGGTTGTATATGATAGCGGTTCCACTGGAACCGCTATCTAATATACACTTTAGATAGCGGTTACAGAGGAACCGCTATTATATCCTCCAATTATGATCGATCATTACCTAAATCTAATCGATCAGAATCATATTTCGCTCGAGCGAGATATAGTCGCTCAAGCGAAACACAACCCGAGATTGAAGAAATTAAAAATTTGGTTGTATATGATAGCGGTTCCACTGGAACCGCTATCTAATATACACTTTAGATAGCGGTTACAGAGGAACCGCTATTATATCCTCCAGTTATGATCGATCATTTCAAATTATGATCGATCAGTATCGTTTTTCGCTCGAGCGAGATATAGTCGCTCGAGCGAAATGCAACCCGAGACTGAATCTTAAAATATTTTTTTGAATATTATGTTTTTAAATTTGCTATTAGAGAAAACCTTTCAGAATTCAAAATGTTAAATACTTTTAAATATTAAAATTAACTTTATCAAAAATTAGGAAAACAAAATTTATCCAAAAGAGTTCAAAAATGTATAAGAGTATTCTCAATTTTGAGTTTAATTATATTGTTCATTCTCAAAGTAGAAATTTATATTGTAGTTATTTAATTTACATTTTGTGATCTTCTTAAAATTAGCATCAATAACATTAGACTTTACATTTGATTCATACCTAACTAATTATAGATTAAAAGGAAAGTGGTATAACCATGCATTTTACTTTTCTATTTACCTTATTCTTTTAATTATTTTATATAATAATAATCAAAATATTCACATGAATATGGGCATTTTCCAAAATAATATTATTGTATTATTGTTAAAATTAGCATCAATAACATTACACTTGATCTTCTTAATTATATTGTTCATTCTCAAATTAGAAAATTATATTGTAATTATCTTCAATTTATTAAAAGTGTAATTAAATCTCTATTTTCTTAATTTTTTTTTGTTTCAAACTTCTCAATGCTACATTTTTGTAACTTCTATCATTATATTATCATCCTCATCTCCTCCCATGTTCTACTTTATCTTTACAATAGTTAATATTCTTAAATAATCTATATTTTTAATTATAATTTTTTAATATATATTTCAGAAATTAATCAATTCTAAGCTATTATTTGAAAAACTAATCAATTCTAATCAATAATTTAGAAAAATAATCGATTAGAATTAATTATTTGAAAAAATTATGAAATATGATCGATCATTTCAAAAATCTAATCGATCAGAATCATATTTCGCTCGAGCGAGATATAGTCGCTCAAGCGAAACACAACCCGAGACTCAAGAAATTAAAATATGGTTGTATATGATAGCGGTTCCACTGGAACCGCTATCTAATATACACTTTAGATAGCGGTTACAGAGGAACCGCTATTATATCCTCCAATTATGATCGATCATTTCAACTTATGATCGATCAGGATCGTATTTCGCTCGAGCGAGATATAGTCGCTCGAGCGAAATACGGCTTATGAGCTCACGCTTTGAGAGTTGCTGTAGCCTACCTAAGCTCCGCTTTTTTCAGTTCAATCCAATCAGCAGTGGGATTAGAGAGCAAGCTGTTCAAAGTTTGTTTTAATCTGTTGAAATAGCCGTTATAATCTGTTAAAAGTCCTTTCAACCCATTAATGCGTTCTTGTTCTTTAACAGAATTGTTTTAGCTGATACGACCAAGTTTTTATCAGTTAAAACTTTTTACAAATATTTTCTAAGAGTGATTTAATCGATTGATTCGCGGTTTAATCGATTGATTCAGTTTAAAACTTTCTTATAACACTTTTCAAGTTATTTTAACTGATACAAAGAAGTTTTAATCGATTAAAACCCTGCACAGAATTTTTTCTAAGTCATTTTAATCGATTGAAATGCGTTTTAATCGATTGAAATGCGTTTTGACTTTATCTTTGACTTCATCAAATCACTGAGATCTTTGCTAGTCGCTCGAGCGAGATCAGTTTCGCTCAAGCGAAAAACAACCCGAGGATGAAAATTATGTGCAGGTGTCTTCGCTCGAGCGAGTTTACGGTCGCTCAAGCGAAATATAACTTCTAATAGCGGTTTTAGGTGAACCGCTATCTAAAGTGGCGATCATAGGCTGGACACATTTACAGATTACCTCGGGCAAGGTAATACAATCACCCAACGATTATCTGACATAGCTGAAAGACAGGTGGTCGCCATTGAACGCAGAAATGAATTAATTAATGAGCAAGTTAATGTGATGAGACGATCATCAACATTTCAACATTCGGAGTCAGATATATGGGACATGTTAGTCGGCATGAACCTAAATGACGAGCAACTTATGCTTCAGTGTTATAATCATTTTTGTACTCACCCATCACATGTTAGACGACTTTTTGGCTTGCCCTCACATCTTCGTCTCTCCCAGTTGTTCATGTTCTTGAATGGAGGTGATTGAATGATCTGAACTCGGAGGACTTCACTACAAAAGATGGATAACATTATAATTATTTGTTTGAAGAACATTAGTGTGCATAGATTTATAATTTTAGTAATCTTTCCTTTAATTATTATTCTATTTTCACTGTATTTTATATTTGTTTTAAATAATAATGTACAATTATATTATTAGTTTTCATAATTATTTGTTATTATCAGTCAATATTAATTATTATTTTATATTTTATAATTATTTAATTATTAGTCAAATAATTTATTTAATATGTCAACATT